AATGGGATTTATACCCCGCCCTTCACTACCCAAAGGAGTCTCAGAGCGGCTTACAAACTCCGTTCCCTTCCCCTCCCCACAGCAGACACCCTGTGTGGTAAAAGAAGAAGAAGAAGAGATTGGATTTATACCCTCCCCTTCACTACCCAAAGGAGTCTCAGAGCGGCTTACAAACTCCTTTCCCTTCCCGTCCCCACAACAGACACCCTGTGAGGTAGGCAGGGCTGAGAGAGCTCTCTCAAGAACTGCTCTTTCAGGAACAGCTCTGACAGGACTATGGCTTGCCCAAGGTCACCCAGCAGCTGCGAGTGGACGAGTGGGGAATCGCAGATTAGAGTCCACACACTTAACCACTACACCAAACTAAGTTGAGGGGGACATGATAAGGGTTTGCATCAGGTGGAGGGAGTTGACCAAGAGAACATTTTCTCCCTCTCCCAAAAGACTAGAACTCGGGGCCATCCAATGAAGCCAATGGGCAGTAGGTTCAGGACAGACAAAAGGAAATACTTCTTCACACAGAGAGTGATTAAAATGTGGAGCCACAGCCCCTCTCCATAGCCTACAAGTCATAAGAACATAAGAACATAAGAGATGCCAAAGTTGGATCAGGCCGATGGCCCATCCAGTCCAACACTCCGTATCACACAGTGGCCAGAAATACCAGGTGCCATCAGGAGGTCCACCAGTGGGGTCAGGACATTAGAAGCCCTCCCACTGTTGCCCCCCCCCCAAGCACCAAGAAGACAGAGCATCACTTGCCCCAGAGCCCCTATCTATACCTTGTGGCTAATAGCCACTGATGGACCTCTGCTCCATGTGCTTATCTAATTCCCTTTTGAAGCCGTCCATGCTTGTAGCCGCCACCACTTCCTGTGGCAGTGAATTCCATGTGTAAAGGTCCTTCCAGTGGGGTTTGCTCCCCGGACACGTTGCGCTACACGTCTCTGATTTGTGCCTTGCCTCAGTGCAGTTCTCACATGAGCCTGTTTCCTGCCTCTGTCATCTTCTCCTGCCTCCTGGAAATGGCTTTGGCCTCTGACCTCTCTTTTGAGCCAGACACAGCCTAGGTTCATCCTCCCTCTTTGAGGTCACGCCTTCAGCCAGGTCTGTGTTGTTGTAGTCTCCGATGGACTGAATTCCTAGTTCTTCCTCTCCCAGCATTACAGCCACCTGTCCAAAAGTGTCTTCCTTCGCTTCTCCTTTTTCAAAAGAAGTTGTACCCATTGAGGCACGTGCTTTAAAGCAGAGGAATGCGATTGTCTAGTATTTGCGTGATTTATTCCGGATTGGGGCTAGCTGCAGAGTATTTGACAAAGAATGGTTGCAGAGCTGAGTTCCCGCAATGCTTTCCTTTTGGATTTGGAAGCACAGCTTCTTCACAGATGATCTTCCTGTCCTGACAATTCACCGTTAATCTGCAAGACTGCTTGAAATCTGTACTCAGTTCCTCTTCTACTATTCCGTTCGGGCAGGTCATGGTTACTGATGTTTTTTGTGCGGATCAGAAATGTTTGATGACATTTTGGTTTGCCTCAGGGTGTCTGTGGAGGGGAGGCAAAAAACCAAGATATGCTGGAACTAAGGCCAGGTTTCTCTCAGCGGAATCCCTCTCGGTTTAGTCTAATTGCCAGCCACCTTGTGTAATGACAAATGAATGGGGAAAATAACTACCAGCTAACACATCAGACATCTTAGCTAAAACTGATTAGTGTCCCTAGAAACTAAAAAGTGAAAAGAAATATGGTAGGGAGAGGCATAATTCCTTATAGCATTAGTTTGTCACCCAAATACATGAAATTTTTGGAAGACAGAGCTACCTTTATGCTGTTGTTTTTTACAGAGCTACCTCTACACTGTTGTTTCTACAGTTTAAGAAACCTTCTTTTTACACTCCTCTTCCCCAAAATTCCAAGCAAGGTGAAACCCTCAGCCCTCTCCCCCATGCACATACACATATATTGTCATTCCATCCTTAATTTCCAGTGTCACACTCTTTTTAAAAAATCCATCTTCTGGACAGTACTGCCTAAGAAACCTCAGATTTATTCTGGAATAAATCGGACACTGTAGAATTTAAAGAATTCGGGAGGTTTTATGTTGACTATTTTACAGAACAAAAGGACTTTCTCACATCTGGATTTTAAAAGCCCTGCTGTCATGTATTTTTGATGTATAGCCTCCCGCCATTCCATACTGAAAGCAAAGAGAAATAAACTGCACATTAAAAATATTGCCATATATTTGCATCAATGCAGGTCACATTGTTCAGTGTATGTTACACCACCAGACCCCAACTACTGCTCTGTGTTAAAGCGATGGATCAATATCCCCCCCCCTGCCAACACTGTCTGTAGGCTGTTCAAATTTTTTGTTACACCACCAGACCCCAACTCCTGCTCTGTAGATCAATATTACCCCCCTACCAACACTGTCTGTAGGCTGTTCAAATTTTCACACAGCTGATCTCTTGCAAAACCTTGTTCTGAAGGTGGAGATGAGGTTTTGCAAGAAACGTTTTGTTTATTTGTTTGTCTGGCTTTGCAACTCAGCTCTTTGTAAAGTGTTGAGGAAACCTTGCAAGATGAAGGAGCAAAACGCTTGATCTCAACTGGCATGAACACACTGAGCCACAAACGGAGCCAGGATCAAGGACCGAGAAAATACCCAAGAAGATTACAGGAAGAAGGGGGATCTAGCACACCTACTCACAACCCCTCCACTCAGGACAAATTATGTTTAGTTTAGCAGCACATTCATACCTCTGCTAAGCACACATTCATCTTTATATGCCCAGCCAGTCAATGCTCTTCATTTTCTAATGATTACTGCATTTTCTCCCCTACTTCAGAGAGCACAATTGCACCAACAGAGCACTTGATTCAGACGGATATATACAAATGTTATACTAGCTGCCGACTGTTTTAAAAAATCCTCCTCAGACCCCCATTTTGTTCTCCTAAAGCATCTTGGGTACAGGCCCAGTGGCATGATAGATGCTAGATTACCTACATGTTTTTAATGCTGGGACTTTAACCCTTGGCTTTCTGTATAGTCATTCAGGATACTTTGGGGGCTTTATCTGGCTAGGTTTTTCTACGGATATGTAAAGACAATTTTGGGGAGGCAAAACAAAAAGATGGAAACTGCTCTCATACTCCTCTATCCAGTTGCAGTGTCAAGATGCCACATTGTGTCTCTAAACAGCTCGATTTTAATCAAGGTCAATCTTTGGGTTGAAAAGCCCAACGGTACTCCAGGGCGGCCACATTTTTCGGTGTCAACATGCAGCCCTCCGAGAAATGGCTCTCAAGACCATTCCTTCTACCTTCAACAGAGCATTCAGTTCCAGCAATCAGAAGGGCCTTGTTTTCAGCCTCTCCATATGAACACTGCAAGGAGCTGATTTTATCAAAGTAGGGCAAACAGAGAGTTGACAAATCTAAATGAAACGGTCTCAAATGAGAGAGATATGCTGGCTCTACTCCCAAATTTGTGACTCATCAACCATTTGGCAAGGGGAAACCACTTGTTTTTGTTATGATTTAAGACTCCCCATTACTAACAGATTATAAGGAAAAAATATTATTGTATTTTTGTAAATTTAGAAACATTAAATATGTATCCGGATTTATAATAATTATTGGGGGGCTTTACGCAGAGTGTTAGGATTGCAAAATATCCCTTTTCAAAATGAGAGCTGGTTTCCACACTTCAACCTAGCTAATTTCTTTGTGTGTCTGCGTAGAAGGGACTTAAGAAACAGATAATAAAAAAATCACAGGCGGAAAGTGGCATATATATAAGCGCTCCTTAGAGAGATGTACCTTTTATGATTTCTAATTCCATTTTCTTTTAACATTATCCACCACGTGGATTTCAAGGTAAAAACCGGATCAAGCGAGAAATTGACTAAAACATTAAAATATTAAATTCTAACACCTTCAGATCATCCCAAGATAAATTTCGCTTTGCTGAAAACGTTTCCCCCTTTCTACGATCAACCTTTGACCAATTTTTCTCTATCTTTGCTTTGTTTTAAGGCAAACCGGAGCACAAGGCGCTGAGATAACTGCTTCTACTGGGAGAGAGAAAATGCTTTGAGTTTGTTCCCCCCCCCTCCACAGTAGGGAACCAAAATTCTCACCACTACAAACCCTCATGAAATTAGAATGTTCAGCATCCTCAGTTCTAGTTAATGCTGCTGACACGACAACCAAGTATTTCACAAGAAGGGACCTGCACAGCCAAGCCAGACACATCCCTCCAGACCCAGGGGAAGGATGGCCACCTTAATGAAAGTGAAAAGGCGCATCGGAGGAATGCCCTCGCTAGCAACCCCGGGCAGTGTTCCCTTGTGACATGCAACAAAATCCTCAATAGCAATGGACCCCAAAGGTATCTTCCCTCAAGCAAACATCTGTGCCTCCATCCTTGGACGGGCATTTACACCTTCATTGTCCACCAATTGAAAGTTACATCCCAAGATGTTGTTTTGAAACCCATAACTGCTGCGACTGGGAAGTGGGCTCTCAAGCCATATTTTAAAAAGGAAAACTACTCTGTAGCAGTGCCCTTCAAGAAGGGAAAGGAGAGGTCCTCATCTTGAAATGTTTGCATTAATTACCCCAAAGTGGGAGGATCAAATACAGGAATCCAAGCGAAGCACCAAGACAGAATAATGTGAATGCACAAGAAGAGGATGGAAAGGCATGAAGACGTTTGCCCCGAAAAGTTTGAGAAGAGGGGAAACAGAGTCTTACCACCAAATGGGGTAACCAGCTAAGATCTTTGCGTCACCGATGAGGAAAGCTAAGATTAATCCAAGCAGGTAGTAATCCATTAGTCCAGGTTTGGTGTTAGGGAGAAGACCGCTCTCCACAAAGTTTGCAGAAAAACATTTAAGGATAACAAGAAAAAAACACCCCCAAAACCACAGGTCCTTTCCACCCCCACCCCCCACCCACCCCTCATATGCCTGAACACCCAAAGGAGGCCCAGGAAGTCTCCTGGAGTGGAAAATGACTTTATGCGTTGTCAGAAATGCACCTCGGGGGAAAGCTTTTTCCCCCACCCACCCCTGGCCGATGATCTACTCAAAGCTTCTATTAGAAAGTGCTGCACTTTGGGGATGTCAGGAGACAGCCAATGGGATCGCATGGCCCTAAGGTAAGGGTTGCGTCTATAGTTCAGGGCTGTCAATCATTCCAACTCTCTCTCCCCCCACCCCCAACTTTATTCCGCCCGCTCGTTGGGGAAGGGAACAGACAAACCCTGAAAGAGAGCTTTCCAGCCTAACATGATTTCTTTTTTTTCTTCTTCTTCTTAAAAAAAAAATACCTCCAAGGGATGCGTGACGCACGGCCCATCTGGCATGGCTTGATAAGGCAAAGGGATCCTCTTGCAAGGTAAGGCAGTGGGGGCCGGGGGGGGGGACAGAGGACAAGGAAACAGTCTCTCCGATCCTGGATTTCATCTTGCAGCACAGAGACAACTAGCTGGGGTGACTTCTGTCAGCTGTATTGGCAGAAGGCATGCATGGATTCATGGCGCATTTCGGAAGTGCTTGGGTACCAACCATCTGATCTATGAACAGATGATTTAGAGATTATTTCCCACTCTGTCTCAAGGGCTCCGGTCAGGACAGGTCAAGTTATTATATACTTCACACAGCTCTTGGCTACTAGGTTGCAAAGGGGGGGGGGTCAGGAACAATGCTCCCTCTAAGCTGTGGAGTCCTATGAACAAAAATCCTACTTTGTGAGCTCCTGGCATAAAAGTTGTGAGTAAGTAATTTGGCTACTGCATCAATTAGTTTGCTCTGGAGCCCTCCTTCCTGAACTAAGACAAAAATGTGTGAACCGGAGGCTTAGAAAACTGTGAGCTAGCTCACACTAACTCAGCTTAGAGGGAACACTGGTCAGGAAGGATCCCACCCAATCCATAGGTAATTGGTAAGGTTTTCTCACACCTCATCAGAAGATGGGAGGCTGCTACCTCTTAGGACAAGGGAGGCTGGGGACCTGGTCTGCCTTTTGCGAAATTCGGGGATCTTTTCGTAGGCAACTTCAGACAGTTTTCCAGCCTTCTTCCCACTCTTTGCCTGCCCCTCTGACTGTTTTTAAGGTGGGATGAAAGTCAGAAGACAGCAACGCTGGATTCCAGATCCTGGACGTACATTCTGGCCCATGGAGATGGAACACTGAAACCACGCATGCCGAGAATGCCAAAACCAATTTGAGGTGAAGACTGCCTGATGTGAACATTGCGTTTTAATGGGTACAGAATATAGACTGGTGTTACGAATCCTGCGGGAGCTCTTCTGCAGCATTACACACCAAACCCGATTTCTCATTTTTCTACTTTATTTATTTGTTTGTTTATTTATTACTTCAATTTATACCCCGCCCTCCCTGCAAGCAGGCTCAGGGCGGCTTACATTAATTGGTACCCAGTTAATTAATTGGTCAAAGAAGACGGGGCCGGCAAAGGATGAGATGGGTGGACAGTGTCATAGATGCAACGAGCATGAAATTGAGCAAACTTCAGGGCCTGGCGGGAGCTGGTCCGTGGGGTCGCGAAGAGTCGGACTCGACTGTGCAACTGAACAACAACAACAACAACCGTAAAACCATATACAAAAGTTAAAACATTTTAAATATTATAAACATAAAACGATCCAATGATTAAAGTGCTGGTGATAACAGTCAACGTACAGTAATCAAGATTGGCATACTATATAATATACAAACAGTTATTTCCAATCCAGGGATCTTCAGCACTGCGCGATGGTGTGGCACGATCATCATCATCATCATTATGTACTGGTTAAACTGCTGGACTAGGATCCGGGAGAGCCAAGTTTGAATCCCCACTCTGCCATGGAAGCTCGCTGGGTGACCTGGGGCCAGTCACGCTCTCTCAGCCTAACCTACCTCACAGGGCTGTTGCGAGGAGAAAATGGAGGAGGGAAAGAGAATAATGTAAGTGGCTTTGTGTCCCCTTTGGGGAGAAAGGTGGGTATAAATAAACAAATACAGTGGGGTGGTTCTCAAGACATGTTAATATGAAGGTGCACTTTTTAATCCCCCCCCCAACCTGCATTCTGACAAGTACATATTCCCATCACTCTATTCAGCTGAGGGCAGACGTCTTCCAGGACCCTGGCCACTGCATTCTGGACCAGTTGTAGTTCCTGGGTCAGTCTCAAGGGCAGCCCTGAATAGACTAAGGTCCCGTTCACACTAGGCGATTTGGGCCGGGAGCGGGACAGTTCGGGGGCGGATCAAACCGGCGCGATCACACCACAACATCTGGGAAGCGTCTTGCCGAACTGCGCATGCTCCGACATGCACAGTTCAGCCGGCTCCCGGTTAGGGCTGTGTTTTCTCCCCGGCGTTTGATCGCGCCGGGGAGAAAAGGCGCCGCGGCCAGGGGATCCGTGTCTCAACATTGGTGCGGCTTTTAAAAGCCACGCCTTTAGAGGCTTTTCCCCTGCCGTGTGGCAGGGGCCTAAGTTACAGTAGTCTAGCCAGGCGGTGACCATTGCATGGATTACTGTGACTACATTGGGGTGAGACAGGTAGGGGTGCCAGTTGCCTGATATGGCCCTGTTTGATAGAAAGTGGCAGCGGCATTGAGGAGGAGGAATGGAAATAGACACCCCCACAGGGGTCATTTCGTAGAAAAAGAGGTGCAGGAGCTCATTAGCATAACTCATTAGCATAACTTATTTGCATATGCCACACCCCCTGGCATCACCGGAACTGTGTCAGAAGGCAACACCCACCGCTTAGGCTCCACTGGACTCTTTTGGATTGCTAGCTGTTGGGGGGGGGGGTAACATGCAGATCTGTCCTGGCAGAGGAGGGAGAGCTTGTACCTGAATAAAACTTGGCCTTAAAGGTGCTACTGGTCTGTTTTAGACCGGGAGAGCTCTGCAACTTACCTGGCTGCTTCTTGCTCTGACGGAGGGCTGCTGGGAGCAGGGGGCGGTGTTTGTTGCATGTTCCTGCCCCCTAGCCTCTTTATTGCCGGAGCTCCGCTCCTGTGCGCTCCTGCAGGAAATGACCCCTGGACACAGACCAACAAAGGAGATGGCTTGGCTACCAGGCTGGGTACAAACTAAGCAACCACCCCAGTCGCCAAGGCCGCCGGCCTTAGACATGTCTGGAGAGGTCTGATTTAGACATGTAGCGGATTGAGAGAAGAAATGGCCAGAGGGGCAGCACCATTCCAGCCTGTGCAGACGTGGGACAAGAGTTTGCAAGGCTCCCCATCTGTGCAACGCTGTCTGCAAAAAGGGAGCGATTTGGCTGCTGCAGAAATTAGTGTGCTCTGGAGCCCCATCCTCCCTGAGCTAAGAAAAACAATGTGTGAGCTGGAAGCTAAAAAAAACCCCTGTGAGCTAGCTCACACTAACTCAGCATAGAGGGAACGCTGCTTTCTAGCGCAAGGAGCCTTCCCCTGGGGGAAGAGCCAGTTCCCTTGGAGGCGAGCTGTTTGGAACACGGGAAGGCTCCAGACTGAGCCGAGCGGCATGGCAGGATACGGGCTCTTAAGGGCCCAGAGTCGCAGCATCTCAGCCTGCAGACTGTGCAGAAGGATCCTCCCCTCGTGGTATCTGCAGCCCGGATCTCTCCAGCCCTGCCCCCTCCCCCATTTATTTATTTTATTGCATTTATACCCCGCCCTCCCCGCAAACAGGCTCAGGGCGGCTCACATAGGGCACTAAGTGCGTACAGTATACAAAGTTACAAAATACAACATTCAAAATTAAAACAGATTAAAATCCATTCTACGGATGCACATATAAATTCCTAACATCTTGCATAGCAGGGAGTAAGGCTGGGTAACGGAAAGATGTTGCCCAACCCCCCCGGCTGTCTCTTTCTATAAGGAGTGGTGGTGGTGGAAGTGGCCGTGGCGGCTCCTACTCGTAAGCCTGGCGGAAGAGCTCCGTCTTGCAGGCCCTGCGGAACTGCACAAGGTCCCGCAGGGCCCTGATCTCCTCCGGGAGTTCATTCCACCAGGTGGGAGCCGCCACTGAAAACGACATGGCCCTTGTTGCCACAAGCTTGGCCTCCTTGGGGCCCGGGGTCACCAGCCGGTGTTCTGACCCTGACCGAAGTGCTCTTTGGGGAATATGTGGGGAAATGCGGTCCCTCAGGTATGTCGGACCCTGGCCATATAGGGCTTTAAAGGTAAGCACCAGCACTTTGAAGTGAATCCGGTATGCTATAGGCAGCCAGTGCAGCGCTTTCAGCACAGGTCAGGTGTGCTCCCAGCAAGGGACCCCCACCAACAACCTGGCTGCAGCATTCTGCACCAGCTGTAGCTTCCAGATTTGTGACAAAGGCAGCCCCATGTAGAGAGCGTTGCAGCTGTCTCCTAGCCATCGCTCTGCCAGGTCCAGGTTGGGAAACACCTGGAGATTTGGGGAGTGGAGCTGGAGGAGGGCCGGGGTTGGGGAGGGGAGGGACTTCAAAGGCCTACAGGGGCTGTGCTCTCCAGATAAAGGGATCTCTAAAATATACTGGGTTCGAGATGCGAATAGTGATCAGCTCATAGTCTAGTAGTGATTTCAGCTTAACTCTAAGATGGTTCCGGGAGGGCCAGAGCTTTGCTTATGTGCATGCAAAACACCCCACACCCCACAAACACACCCACTCCCCATGATAGGCTATTTACAAAGCATTACTACTTGATTGGTGTATTCCAGAGTCCTGGTCAGCTATTGTTCTTGTGCTCCGAGCTCAGCCAGTCTCTGGGGTGATTCAATCAGGGATGATTCAATCCCAATACATAACACTGCCATCTGGAGATCAGCTGTAATAGTGTGAG